ACGAGAACGTGGCTCTGGAGGCCTGCGAGTTCTGGCTGACTTTGGCTGAACAGCCCATCTGTAAGGAGGCCCTTTCCGGCCACCTGGTCCAGTAAGTGCCCCCATTCCTACATTGTTTGGGACTCAGCCCAACGATTCAAGTACATATCACTGCAGACTGCAGGAAGCCAAGGATAGATATCCAACTCTGCCCACATCCAAGTCGGACATTTTGATTAGGTCACCAATAGGAAGATCCCAGGCAAGAAAATCCTAATTGCTTCATGGCAATATAGACATTAATTTAAAAATAGTGAAATTAATCTTGCAAACACTGAATTAAACTCTATACGTAATATTATGTTAAAATAGTGTATGTTAAATAGGTTTGTACAATAAGTCCAAACAAGTTTAACCAAAAATTATCACAATTATCTCACAATTATGAAGGCTGGAGGGTCAGGGTTAGGTTTAAGGTTAGGGTCAGGGTTAGGGTTAGGTTTAGGACATCGTTTATCTTCCGATTTCGTATAGACAGTAAAGTTTAGTTTCCACCTCAGAAAGCTCCTAGTCACATGACCTAATCAAAATGGCCGACTTGGATGTGGGAGGAGTTGGATATCCAACCGAGGCTCCCTACAGGCTCCAGCCAGACGCAACTCAAACGATTTAATCTGACTTGCCCTTTTTTTCCCCTCAGATTAATTCCTATTCTTGTGAATGGGATGAAATACTCTGAGATAGACATTATCCTCCTGAAGGTGAGCAGAAACTCCTCAGACGGCCCTCCTCTCGCTCAGAGGTCCCTCTGCCTGTTTCTACCTGAGTCATCCTCTCCTTTTACCTCCAGGGGGATGTTGAGGAGGACGAGGCGATTCCGGACAGTGAGCAGGACATCAAACCTCGCTTCCACAAGTCTCGCACCGTCACCCTGCAGCACGAGGGGGGGGAGGGGGAGGAGGGGGAGGACATCGATGAAGACGAGGATGATGATGACGACACTCTGTCTGACTGGAACCTGCGTAAGAATCAGACTTTTAGCTTTTTAAAAAATGTTATTATTGAATTTTCTCTTTTTTTTATTGACACAACAAACCTACAGACAACAAACTTAACACTGTAACATGTACTTTTACATTCTTACTTTCACTCATGGACTCACCATTTAAACCTGCATTTATTCAGATCCAAAAATATACAAAACCCTTTACATTAAGACACAGAAAAATAAAAAGGCAATACATGAATAGAAACAGTAGTCAAGACACCCATTAATAAGCTCCACCTTAAGTCCCTATGAGCCTCATATATGGCTCCCATAGCTTCTCAAAGTCGTGTTTATTACCCTTGGTAATGTATGTTAGTATTTCCAAAAGTCCCATGGGGGGGGCTACATCTATCAATGTAGTCTTCATCTCTGGTTGTTTAAATTCCATTGGGTATATTCCTAGGACACAGATTTGGACCTGTAATGGGACTTTCACCTTAAATAATTCAAAAAGACGCCTAATAACGTCCTTCCAAAACTTTATTAGCTTTTTTTTTTTAAAGTTGTTGTGGCTGCTCGGTGTAAATAGTCTCCAGTCCTTTTTTTATTCAGATCAAACCAAAGAAATGTGAACTGGGGAACATTTTAGAGTGTATGACGGTGGATGTTTTGTCAGACTCACAGAATTGAGCAGTTTAACATGATTTATTTTATATTGAAAGCTAACATAGATTTCACAATTCAGGATTAGACAAATGAACAGGCTGGATCGAGGACTTTTTTCTTCTTTTGGAAAAGTATTTCTTATAGAAAAGACCCCTGCAGGGGAATTTCAATATGTCAGATATCTTTTAATATTGGTCTCGAGAATAATGTCCACTTTCACATATTATCGATATGGTTGGTTGTCGATGTTTCATTTAAAAAAGAAGAAGATAGAATCTCTTCTTTAAGAGTTGATGTTTTTCTCTTAACCTTCTGTTTGTGTTTTATCTTCAGTCATGTTTCTGGGGATTGGTGTTGGTTTTTAAAGTGGCCGCTGATTCTTCCTTACAGGAAAATGTTCGGCTGCCGCTCTGGACGTTCTGGCCAACGTGTTCCGTGAGGAGCTGCTGCCCCACCTTCTGCCCTTGCTTAAGGGCCTACTTTTCCATCCCGACTGGGTCATCAAAGAGTCGGGCATCTTAGTACTGGGGGCGATCGCTGAGGGTGAGGATGCACACATAGAAAAACAACACAGTAGAACCTCTACAGAGGAATTTAACTCGTCCAGGACCGACTTTGTATGTTGAAATATTCGTATGTTGGTTCAAATATTCCCATCAGAATAACTGTAATTCCTATAATTCGTTCCAAAAAGCTACGATAACGCCTTAATAAATACTGCAGATAATTACACATAGAAATAAAAAAAATGCATTTTATAAGAGAGATGTAAAAAGAAATAACTTATAAAGAAGCAATCAATAAAAAGGGTTTTTATTGGCACTTTACCTTAGAGACTGTGAACGGAGGTAGAGGTGGAGACTGAGATACAGGACTTTGACTTTAAAATAACTTACCTTACTGAATTTTTATATAATTATTTTTCTATGATTTCGACGTTATATATGTTGGAAATTTACTTTGGGTGTTGACATAAAGAAATAATCAATAAAAAGGATTTTTATTGGCACTTTACCTTCGAGACTGAAGAACGGAGGTAGAGGTGGAGACTGAGATACAGGCCTTTGACTTTAAACTAACTTAGCTTATTAAATTGTTATATATTTATTTTTCTATGACTTCGACGTAATATATGTTGGAAATTTACTTAATAATCAATAAAAAGTTTTTTTTTATTGGCGAATGGAGGTAGAGGTGGAGACTAAGGTACAGGACGAACTGTAACTTACTCTAACTTTCACTATGTTGACTTTAAACTAACTTAGCTTATTTATTTTTCTTTCATTTTTATATTTTATATACATTTTTTCTATGACTTCAATATCGGAAATTTACTTCGGTTGTCAAGTCGAATATTTGATCGAATTTCACTTCGGATGTTGGATAATTTGTATCTTTAGGCATCGTAAGTCGTATGTAGTATACTCATTAGTAGAGGTTCTGCTGTATTTTAAATTGAGTTTTTCCGTATTAATCAAACTTAACCTGTGTGTGCTGGCTCCAGGCTGCATGCAGGGCATGGTCCCCTACCTGCCCGAGCTCATCCCCCACCTCATCCAGTGCCTGTGCGATAAGAAGGCCCTGGTCCGCTCCATCGCCTGCTGGACGCTGAGCCGCTATGCCCACTGGGTGGTCAGCCAGCCTCCGGACGCCCACCTGAAGCCGCTCATGACCGAGCTGCTCAAACGCATCCTGGACGGAAACAAGAGGGTGCAGGAGGCGGCCTGCAGCGCGTTCGCCACGCTGGAGGAGGAGGCCTGCACGGAGCTGGTGCCCTACCTGAGCTTCATCCTGGACACGCTGGT